CACTGGTAGGCCCTGCACTCCCTGCCTCTCTATCTGACTGTGACCGAAATCAGGCAACAGGCAGCTTCGTCACCCACCCGCTTAGTCACCTGCCACTCCTCTGGGGACCAGCTTTGGCCCTCTGAGCTGGGGGCTCTGGAGGAATTCCCCACCCCTCTTGCCTCAGAAAGCCCCACTCTAATGGGCAAGATCCCGTGCCTCCCAGCAGCTGCGAGAGAGGCCAGGCCAGGGTTGCACCAATGACCGTTCTGCTCTCCTTCCCTCCTACAGAACCCTGACTCCGTGCCTAGCCAAGATGTCACGTTTCTCCGTCTCGTCTCTCTCTTTTTTTTTTTTTTAATTTATTCATTTGACAGAGATAGACACAGCGAGAGAGGGAACACAAGCAGGGGGAGTGGGAGAGGGAGAAGCAGGCCTCCCGCAGAGCGAGGAGCCCGATGCGGGGCTCGATCCCAGGACTCTGAGATCATGACCTGAGCCGAAGGCAGACGCTTAACGACTGAGCCACCCAGGCGCCCCTGTCTCGTCTCTCTTGAAGACAGAGATAAGCATGTGACAAAATTCTTGCCCAAGACAGGTGAAAGGCATTGAGTGCTGTTTCTAGGAAAGCGCCTTTGGAGGGAGGCACGGACTCAGATGCACTTTCCCCTTCCCTCTTTGTGCCACCGAGGATGTAGATGTGATGGCTGGAGCAGTAGCAGCTATCTCAAGGCCAGGAGGGGACTCTGATGATGGAAGGCACATGGTAAGGATGGTGAAAAGGACAGAAGGAACCAGGTACATTAAGAACATCGTGGAGTTCCAGCACTAGCCATGAACCTCCTGTCTGTTACATGCTAAACCGCTAGTTTGTGTAAGCCGCATTTGGAGGACAGGCTCTGTTACTCTGTTACTGCAAACATGGTCCCTAACTGGTACAAAATGCTTTTTGGAAAAGGTAATGCCAGAGCTTCATGTTAAAGGAAGCAGGTCAGGGGCAGACTGAGCTCAGCTAACACCAGCACCTTTCCGGCCGCAAAAGAGCTTTTGGTCCGCTGTCCCTGGACATCCTCATGAGGTCCCCTGAGTGGGAAACAGGGCAGGGGTTCCCACCCCTTCATGGGCCTGAGGAACCCAGGCCTCCTGCCTCCACCCAGCTCTCTCGCCACCCTGCTGCTCCAGGCCCAGCCTCGCCCCTACACCGCCTGTCCCTGCCCTGTGGAGACCAATGCGCAGCTGCAAGCCCGCTCCCGCTCTGAGCCCTGGAGGAGTCAGGCCCTGCTTCCCGGCAAGCGTGTTTCCACAGCCTTGTTTACAGTTGTTGAACTACTTTTCGTCAAATTAATTAAATACATGCTAAATCTTCTCCGATTTGTTGTGCGATAAATTAAGGATGCTGAGATTGTGAAATGCACAACAAAACCTGTTTATTCTGATAAAAGCCCACATGATGGCCCGAGTCAAACGTCAGACAGGCCGGAATCTGCTTCTGCCATGGCTTCATCGGAGCAGGGCTCCTCAGTGGCCAGGGTCCCCTCGGCCCCTCATGGCTACCCGAAATGGCAACTCGAGGCACAGAGGGAGGGGACAGGCCCCAGGTCACGGGAGAAGACGATGCACGGGGGCCAGGACTGCAGAATATAGAGTCTTTCCTCAGCATCTCCCGAAGGGCATCCCTCTGCTCCCCAGGGGCCAGCGCATGTAGGAATAGTAACAGCTCACATAGGCGCCACTGTGCACACAGGATCCTCTTCTAGCTCTGGCTTCCCGTCCCAGGCACAGCTTTGGCAGAACCAGTCACCACAGGCCAGATCCACACACAGAAACCCTCTAGGGTCCAGGACACAGCCCACCCCCCCCACACCCTACGCTAGAGTCTTAGAGTCTGCCTCTCTCTATCCCCGCTCTGGGCAAAGTGTGCCCCGTGGGTCCATGTGAACATGGCAGGTCCCTTTGAGAGTCCCCTTCACACATCCCCTTCCCTGCAGCTGCCTGGGAGAAAGAGGGCACAGGCGTTCCAGCCGGAGAAACTGAGGCACGGAGAACTCGCATCCCTCAACCAGTGGCCCAAACCCGCACTTTCCCAAGCACGTGGGTATACAGATTCAAAGCAACTCCACAGCACTGCCCACGTGGGCCACTCGGCACACCCCCAGCTATGTTTTGTTACTCCCATTTTGTGGACGAGATAACAGGCCCGGAGAAGAAAAGGCACTTGCCCGGCTCCCATCGAGGAAGGATGGAGAGCTAAGCTCAGACTCAGAAGAGCCTTAGCTGCCGGTGTCCAAAGCCCAGCTCCCCACACCGGTGCACCCCCATCACCACCCTCACTCAGCCCAACCCTGTGCTCTGGGCGTCTTGGGGCTGCTGGCGGTGGGGAAGAAGATGAGAACAAACTGGGGGAGCTCCAGGCTGGCCCCTCCTGCCAGGGAGGGTGCTGCCAAAGGAACACGTGAGCAGAGGGGACGCTGAAGCTGAGGTTTTGAGGGATGAGTTGAAGTTTTCCAGACAGAGATGGGAGGCTGGGGGGTGGAGTGGTGAGGGGGATTCAGGTGGCCTTTCTGTAGGACACTGCTTTTGCCTCTCATTGTTTTCCAGAAAGATCACTGGTGGGGAGTGGGGGGAGCGTGGTGGGAGAGATCTAGTGTGGTTGGCATAGGACCCAGGACAAGGAAATGGCAGGGACTTATCTGTGAAGGTGGGGAGGGCCAGGCCCTGCAGGGGCCCTGAACCGCATAGAGGGGCCTTGGTCCCTTGTGCATGACTGAGAGCCGCAGAGAGATCTGGGGCAGAAATGTAAACCAACACGGGCCACAGCCACAGAGCTGGACCAGAGCTAGAACACTGAGTCTCGGATAAAACTGTGCAGATAAGAGGTGAGAGAGGACCGGATGGGGCGAGCCTTAGCTGGGAGGGCATTGACTGAGGGTCAGTAATGGGCTAGAGCCAACAGGATGTGGCCTGTGAGCGAGCAGAGGAGGGAGGGAGGCAGGCATCGGGCTGCCCCCCACTTGCTCTGATGTGGATAACAGGGTGCCTATCGTTTGGGCTCAATCAGGGAAGCAGAACCACCGTGAATTTTATAGAACAGGCATTAGCCTAAACTCCCCTGGGGAAGGCCTGGGATGTGAAGGTCCGAAGAAAGCAGTTTTACGGAAACCGGAGGGAAGGTCCCCAGCCCTCTCGAGGCAGAGGTACAGGTGGGGCTTGTGGAGAAATCTAGAAGTCAGGCAGGTGGGGCTGCTGGAGTGGGAGGCTGGGGCCATGCAGACATTGACGGAAGTCTAGGGAAGGCTGCCTGGTCTTTGTCGCCTCCCCCGCTGTGAGATCACAGCCAGGCATCCGGTGGAAGTACTGGGTCCCCGGGTCCCCGTGGGTCAGCGGGGCCGGCAGTCTGGAGGAAGAGCCGGCCGTGGATCACAAAGAGGACACGCAGAGGAAGGACTGAGGACAAAGTGGAACGTGCTGACACCTCCGCGCATCTGTCCCTCCCATCTCCAGCCACGGGGTCCCCCGCTCCCCAGCACAGATTCACCTTTGGGCTAATGCTAACTCATGGACCCATCGAGGGGAGGGGATTCTAGGAGGCAAGTTTCCTGCCAGGCCACTTGACTCCGCACAAACCACCGCGGAGGGAAGACAGAACCACTTGCTGAGACCAGGCACTCGGCGGGGGCAGGTACAAGGCCATGGGGGCAGTTTGTGTATGTTGCTCACTGCTCAAGTGCGCTTGGCGAAGGCATCGGTGGGAGCCGCAGCCCTGACCCTGGCCTGAAGCCGCTTCTACCTGGAGGAAGGGGCTAGGCCCGGGAGGGCAGGGCTAGGCCCAAGGAAATGGTGCTAGAGCGGAGAGAGGCCAGCCTACTCAGAGGGAGAATTTGGCTGTAGGCAGAGCTATTTCAGAGAGAACAAGCTGCCTTTGGAGGTGAGGAGCTCATGATCACTGGAGAAGTGCAAGCAGGGCTGGACAGATGCTTGGTGGGTTTGGTCCAGGGGATGTCATGAGCATCGGGCGGCCGTTCGGCTACCTGCCCCTCCAGGGGCTGTGAGTCAATAAGAAGAGAGGGCCTCTGAGCATGGGAGGTGGGGTTCCCCCTAGCCCTTCCCCACCCTTCTCCCTGCTCACTTCTTTTTGGAACCAGCTTGGGTATTTAGAAGATTAATTTCATGTTTGTGCAAAGCAGGGGATTAGGAGGGGAGGAGAGTGAAGTTCTCTGTAGGTTGTTAGGGAAACATCATCTAAAAAAAGACTCTGGCAAAATTGCTGTGGATGGATACCAGTTACAGCTGAATGCGCCACTTACCTCCAACAACCCAGGGCTTTTAGCTGGTAACTTGCTGTCGTTCCCTGCAGTTCTCGAAACCCTTGTGTTCTGGGACATTAAAAGACAGAGCATGGTGGGGGTACCTCCTCCCTCAGAGCAGGAATCTGGGGGGCGGCGTCCTACCACCACCCCTGTCTAGCCAGGGTCCGGGCTCCAGACCTCACAGAGAATTCGGCCATGGGGATTCCTGGCTCGTCTCCTGCATTACTTCTCAGCGCACCTGGGGGCTCAGAGAGGGCACAGGCTCACCCCAGCACACACAGCAAGGGGCTGACTCTGGTCCAAAGCTGCAAAGCTCCTGCTCTGAGCTGCCACGTACACAAGGGTTAGAGGTGGGGTTGCTGGACCACGGCCAGCCTTTCCCTGGGCCTCAGGCACACAGCCCCTGCCGCCTGCCCCCGATTTTTTTTTTTTCCCGGCAACAGCTTTATTGAGCTATAATTCACGTACCACACAATTCACCCACTTCAAGCGTACAACTCAAGGGCTTTACGTACGTTCACATGGTCATGCGGCCCGTCACCACCGTCAGCTGGAGAACATTTCCATCTCCCCAAAAGGAAACCGTGAACTTTGCAGCAGGCACCCCCAACCTCGCCTTCCCACTGCCCCGGCAGCCACTAATCAGCTGTCTCTGTGGATGTGCCTATTCCGGGCGCTCCGTACATGGAATCCCACGCTCCGGGCTGCTCTCACCTGGCACAGCGTCTCGAGGTCCCTCCTTTCTACGGATGAGTAATATCCCATTTTACGCATCTGCCATCTTTTGTTTATCCCTTCTGCCATGGACAGACATTTGCGTTGTTTCTCCTTTTTGGCTATTGTGAAGTGCTGCGATGGACACGGGTGTATAAGCTTTTGTGTGGGTGTGTTTCTAGGTCCCTTGGGTGCTCCTATCCTTTCGAAGAGAAGAAATGAGCAGATGGGAAGTGTTCGAAACGAACCTGAGGGTGGGTGAGAAGGTGGGGCAGGAAAGATCACAGAGGGTGGGGTGGTCTTGGCGGGCTTCCTGGAGGAGGCAGCACTGCACTGGGGGCTGGAAGGGAAGAGACAAAGGGGCTGGGAGAAGCATTCCTGGTGGGAGAAGCAACCTGAGCAGAAGCATGGAAAGGAGGCCATGGGGCCCCATCCTGGTACCTTGGCATCTTCTGAAATAGCCGTGGACCCAGAACCATGGGAAGTGGGAGGTGGGAGGCCCTCCCTG